CACTATAAAAGGGGCATTAAAGTGTCAGTACAGGGAGCACAGGGATGGTGATGGGGTCTTCCATGCTGATCATTTTGAAGGTAGCTGCTAATCACCTTTAGCCAAATGTCACTTTGTGACACCATGCCACCATAAAGGGAGAAAAATCCAGATAAGCACCCAAACAAAAAAATAGGATCACAAGCTAATACTATAGAAGGTGCACAAAATGTGTCTAGGGGCAGACTGAAGCCCAAGGCTGTTAGCTTATGAATTTTTCCATGCGGCCAAACAAAAAAATCAAATGAAACCAGATCAAAACCCCACCAAATTCTCTACTGGGTGTTTGCTGTAAATTATGAAACCATCTGATGAAGTTTGTTAGGGTTTCCATGATACGCATTGAATGAGGAGATAATTGTACTGCATAAAGGTCGGACTGTGTGAGGGTTGCTCAGATGTTCTTCACATATGTATTCCAGGGCACTGGTTAAGTGGCTTTTCCTTTCTATATCTTAGCTGTGTTTTAAAGAGTTGCTAGCAGAAAAGTCAAATGTCAATTTTTTCATTGAGCTGATGAAAGTTAAAGATGAATTAGAAAGACAATTGTGGTGCTCAAGGATCTCCTAAGTCAGGCAGAATGAAAAACAAATAAAACATTATGCAACAACTTAGCCAGTGTGAGAACAGAGTTATGACTTTGCTGCCAGGTAAGTGACTGACTAATAAGTGCATGTAAGATTATTCCTTTGAAACTTGTAGGTATATTGCAGAAAAATATTAAATGCCAGTTACCTTCACTGGCATGGCTTTTTGTAGTCTCCTCCATTTTTGGGAAAGACTGAAACAAAGACAGAATTACTCAATGATGGTTACAGTATGTACAGAATTCAATTTGTTTAGAAGGATTCTTTTTTATATATATTAATTTTATTGAGAAAGAAATAGCAATAAGACAGTTTCAAAACAGGTTAGTAAGACAGTTACGATAATTAATACGTTGTACATTGTCATCATAGTAATT